ACTACCCCATCTATTCTTCCAAGAAGGCCCTAATATTGAAAATGATTTTCTGTTAATATATATTTATAATGATTTTAATTATTCATTTTTTTCACAAACCTAATAAACTAGGTGTAGGCCGTGTTCGTATTGCGACTGTTGGTTGCTGTATAGGAGATTTAATAATATCGCATTGTGTATTTGAAGTTTGTCTTTTTTCTGATAATTTTTCTTTTGATTCTTCTTTATGCTCTTTTTTCATTCTTTCTTCTGTAATAAATTGCATTTCTTCTTCTGTACATCTTGATTCGGTTAATTCTACTGCGGTAAGTTGTTGTTTTCGAGGTTTTTTTCTAGGAGACATTTCCACTGTTGGATTTATTGTAATTCTAGATTGTTCTGGTTCTTCATCAAGTCCAGGTGATGATGTTGCAGAAACTGTAGTAGATCCTGAACTTTGACAACCTCCACCATCTTGATCTCCTCTTGGTGAACATGGTGGACTAGATGTTGTAACAGGAGGTAAAGATGCAAGTACAGGAACTAAATTTTTTGCCGCATCTAAAAATTTAAAATTATTTTATCAATTTTTTTTCAGTAAATATATAAAATAATAAAGAAATAAAAAAGAATAAAAATAGAAGATTATAATAAAGATTATAATATATAATAAGATATATATATAATAATTTATATCATTTAATTTTCTCATTTCATACTTTTAATAGGTGAATTGTCATGATCTCTTTTTCTAAGTATACTTGGTCGAGGAGATGCATTTGTTTTAGTGTGAGGTTCATCATATCCAGGTTCAACAAGTAATCTCACTGGAGTTTGACGGTATTGAGTATATGTTCCTGCACAATATCATAAAGTAAAATTTTTTTTAAAAACTATTCATATTAATAATTAATAAAAATTGTGGGTTTACCTGTGGGTTCAAAGGAATAATAAGTTGCAGTATGAGGTGGATGTAAATATTGTCCTTGTGCCGATTGAGAAGGCGTTGTATTTGAATTGTTATTTGTATTACTGGTAGAAACACGAAATCCAGATTGTTGAGTGGGTTTAATTTGTATAGTTTGTCCAATATTTTGTGCCTGTACTGTTTTAGCAGGTGCTGATGTAACTCTTGTAGGTGCTAAAGGTAAAGGATGCAAAGACATTCCAGTAATTCTAGCAACAGTAGTTGATGAAGGCTGTGATATTCTTGTTGTATTTGATGTACTTGCTGTTGTAGCAACTATACGTGATACTGCATTAAGATTTGATAAAGAAGTTACTGTTTGAACAACACGTGGTATTGTTTGTGATTGTGGCTGCTGTTGTTGTTGCTGCTGCTGCTGCTGCTGTTGTATCTATTATATAGTCAATTCTAATCAATATTCAAAGCACTAATAAAATATTTCTTACATCATAATAAATGTGATAATATATTTGTGTACCTACTTGTTGAGAAGGAATTACAATTCGACTAACAGTTCCAGTAGATGGAGAAGCAACAGTGTTTATTGATAATTGTCTTCCAACTGTTGGCTGAACAGTCACTGAAGCTGAAGCAGTTACTCTATTTACAGTTCCAACTACAGGTGCTGATACAGCTATACGATTTACAATACCTGTAGTACTCAAAGGCCTGTTTGACTGATTAAATTTTATTTATTTTATCAATATTATTTTTTAATATAATCTAATTAATTATGAAATATAATAATTACTTGAATAGTTTGAGTCGAAGATCTACCAGGTTGTGTAGTTTGCGATATATTTGATATTTGAGGAGCAGATGGTCTACTTTGTGTAACCGGTAATCTTGCAATACTATTATTTGCTTGAAGAACTGGTGCTATTAATCTAGATGGAGTACCAGGAACTCCAGTAACCATTGTGGCTTGTACAGATCTTCCTTGACCTGTAGGTGTAATTAAACGAGGCTGTTGACTGGTATATACTGTTGATGGTGGCCTTGAAATTCGATTAACTGGAGGTGTTGAATGCCTTTGTGGTTGTGCATATACAACTGATGTTGTTTTAGGTTGCCATTGTGGATTTGAAATAGCTGTATTTATTCTAAAATATGCAAAGTATGAGTTTCTATTTATTAAATGTTTAAAAAAAACTTTATTTACCTGCTATATTTACAAAAATATTTAATGTTTAATTATATAAATAAAAGATAAAAAATTCAAATTTTTATAAGATATATATTATATATATAACTTTTATATATATATATATACCCTGGTCTTGTAGTAGGTATAGTTTGTCCTGTATTTGCTCTAACAATTGGAGTAGCCACTGTTGATCTTGGAGCAGAAATATTAGCAACTGCAGCTGGACCACGAGGCACATGATAAGTTGCCGGCATATTTGACACTTGCTGTGTTTGTTGTAATAATTGCTGAGCCTGTGGTTGGTTTTGACGTTCTACTGTACTTAACATACCTGGTGAGATTATCCTTACTGTAGAGCCCACTGAACAGATCTATCAAAATGTAATCAATATTTATTAAGATTTTTTATCATAGAGAACTGTTAAAATTTTTTATATTAATTTCACTATAATAAAATTATATATTTAAATATTAAATATAAAAAAATTATTTTTACCGTTGTAGTTATTTTGTTTGTTTCTGAAGTTGAAGTGGTACCAGATGGAACTACAGGTTTCATTACAGGTAATTTTGAATTTGTATCCATTGACATTGATTTTCCAACAAGATTAGTTGATGTTCCAACTGATCCTACTATAGTCTGTGTTGATTGAATATTCTGTATATTACTTTGAACAACACTTTGTGCATTTTGTATACTTTGCATAGTAGTTAAATTCTGAGCTATGCTTTGAACAGTTGTTTCTGGTAGATGTTTATCACCGCTGCTCTCGACTGAATTTAATGTTGTATTCATGTCTATATTTCTAAAAATTATCTTTTTCAATAAGATATATTATAGTAATATATATCTAAATAAAAAAAAATCTATGTTACATAAAAATTAATTAATCTTTAGATTTTACATTTTTATATTATATTATTATATTTTATCTTTTGAACTTTGTAGAAGTTAAAAGGATTATTATATGAAAACTGGTCAATATTATAAAAGAATTCCTAATTTTTTATATGAATTTAAAGATTATTTAATTTTGTAATTAGTTCAAAACAAATAATCTAATAATAATAAAAAGAATAGCAATGTAATAATTATTATAAAATTAGTAAATAAAATAATATTTTACATTATAAAAGATCAACGTACTTTTTTGTCTTTGAAATTGACAATAATCAGTATTTTTTAGGAATACTATGACAAAAATATGTATACCTTTATAAAAACATAACGCGGTAAAACCATTACCGACTTATTTAAACATGCATATATGACATTTTCAAAATATTTTTGTTTCATTGATGTTTCTTGAAAAAAAACATTTTACACTCTAAACAGCAGTTTTCTTATCACTACAGAAGTTTATAGCGCCTAATGTAAGTATAATACAGTGCAGGTAAATTGTTATTAGATAAATAAATGTTCTATGTATTTACTATATTCTCTATTTCATAGGAACATTTCATTTAGTTAAATAGATGTAAATGGAAATAAATACATTATTATGAAATTTAAATAAATAATAGAATTAAAAATTTTTGAAAATTTTATACATAGATTAATATAATATAATTTAATATAATATATTGTAATACATATTTATTTTAAAAATAAGAAATAATATTTTTGAAAGAAATTCATTTACTAGATTAAAACTAGTGATTTTTATTATAAATTTGGTTAAATTGCAATAATAATAAAATGAATTATGTTGATTATTTATTAAGCTTTTTTTTAATTTAAATGTGTATTCAATATTCTCTGTTTATGTTGGTATTATATATTTTTAAAAAACTTTGATTTATAAGCATAAATAATTTCTAACCATATTTTTGTAACTAATACAATAATTAACTTGAGTAAATACTTTTTTAATAAACTATTATTAAAAATTATTACATTGTGTATAGAAAACTTTTTAGTTTTTAATATAAATTTATTCTATTATATATTATTTTATTATACATATATATATATAAAAATTCAAAATAAATATTAAAAAAGTAACTAGAAATCAGAATGTATATAAGATATAAGATAATGAAATAAATATTCTACAAAAAAGAATATCATTCATATAATTT